TTATTTTATTTAAAAAATACTAAATACAATTAAATTTTTCAGGCAAATTTGCCTGGAATACAGTTTAAGGGATAATAATTAGATAGATATTAAGTTGAAGTTTTTAATATGATTAATGATATCTTTATTTTTACTTGTCTATGTCTATACTCTCCTCTAAAGATTGTATATTTGATATCAAACTGATGAAATATTATATAAGTTACAATTTGCACATTTTATATTCACTATATTTTTTTAAATCTAAATTCATCACCATGATTATTTAATTGATAGCTTGCTGAAAGATAAACTGCCAAAGAAATTTTATAAATAATTAAAGCTAGATAATACATATTCTAGTTAAAAATAATATATCTTTTGTAGAAATATATCTATTAGAAACATTTTAATGCTGTTTATAACATATTAACTAACTGTAATTCACTTTTCATGATTTTAATAGAGTTAAAATTTATATTACTACTTCCTTGTACTATAGTACAAAAAATTTTTAAATCATTTGGTTTACCAAAATTTGTATTTAACAGATCAATCATTGATCCAATCTCTAGTTTCTCACTATTTGATAATTGGGAAGATACCAAAACTTCATCTTGCTCTAAAACTATATTATTATTTTCAATAGCTGTATAGGTAGTTAGCTCTAGTATACTATTGTATAATTTATATTCTAATAACTCTTTTTTATAAAACCAAAGTTCATTTTTAAGGTTAAAAACTCATTTAGATGATAATCGTAATCTGTATATACTATATAGCCATTTTAGAATAGAAAAATTACATTTGCAACTTGCTTGTAAAGGTACAATAGCAAAAACAATTTTGGCAAAATCTTGAAAATATTTATAATTATTATCAATTATATCCCACTATAAACTCAGTAATATTAAAAAATCATAATTAAAGTCAAACAGATATTCATTATTTTTATAATGAATTAGTTGAGTAATCATCTTTTTGTATATATTTTTATGAAAATAAATACTTTTATAAAATTTAGTGGCTATCTCACAGATTTGCTAAAATACACTATTATATAAACCAAGATCTACAAAAAAAAAAAATAATAAATATAATTTTAAAAACTTTAAAAAATTTTTAAGTATTTGTAATCTATTAAATAATTTTATCCAGATTTTCTATTCAAAAACATTTTAGTTACTAGGCAAGAATTTATTAAAGCCATGTATTTTTATATAATTTTTTTTTTTTTTTTTTTGGTGTTAAGGTGGCCTCTTGGCCGGCTCCTTTTATTCGGTTATAGTTAACTT